CTTTAGCCACTATTTTATTCACTTCTTAATTTCTTGAAATTGGAAATACCTTCAAAGTGCTTTCTTGTGATTTTCTCCTTTGCCTTTTTAGAAAACTAACAACATGAATAGGACCCTTCTCCCCTATAGGATTCTGAAATATTTTGCATGACTAGCCCACTCACTAATGTCACGGCTGGATGGAGAGTTTTTCAAAGTGCCAGCATGCTGATTTTCTTATGTCCTACGTTGTTTCGGGGTGTTTTTCTTCAAATTTTGTAAAAAGCATATCTCGGTTTTTCATATCTTCCATTTCCTCTCTGACTATGTACAGAGATAAGCGAAATACACTACACCGCTACACAGGTGATTTGCAAGAGCTCCTCAGAAAAGGAAGAGGCTGGAGCATTAAATGCACTGAGTCACAGATCCAGACTGTGCCTGAAAAGTGGGCAATAATCCCAATCTCAAGATTCTTGAGGCAAACGTACACATTGGAATGGCCTATCCTGTTTAAAAATAGGGATGTATGTGTTTTTTTTTTGGTTTTGAATAGTATTTAAAATCACAAGTAATAGTTTATTCCATGCTGAAAAGAGAAGAAAGAAAACACAATGTTTCAGCTGTGGAGCCTTCTTCAGGTGTGAGCGAATTTAAAATCAGATTACTATATTTTTTGCATGGTTTCTCAGTCAAACCCAGTTGGGTTACTTGATGACTCACTGGCTTGCTTTAAAATACCTTCACCTTTGCAATCGAAGGTTCAGGCATATTACGGAGCAACACAGAACAAAAACAATTAGCAGAAGCTAAATCCATTATTGATCAGAAAGGATAGATAAATGAAAGATGATGAACAATAAAAAGGCACTGAAATTAACCCTGGAATAATTTAACTGTTTCTAATTCTTTAAAACAGCAATGTTGGTTAATGGGAAGACAGAGTACAGTTCTGAAAAAAAAACATACTAAAATGGTTAATGAATGGCAAATAAGACAGGATTTACAATAATGTTTGTAAAGCCTATGTCACAGGCAGAGAGATATAAAAGCTGTAACAGGGACTGAAGGTAATGCTCCAAGAACTAGAAACGGAACAATAACTGCAGATTTCATCTTTATCACCCCAGTGTCACAACATTAGAGACTTTTCATTTGACATCTAACTCATGATTAATCACGCGTTGCTATAAACAAACGTTCTCATAAGCGCAACCAAGTTTAGAAGACATGGGCTGATACAGAAGACTAATTCTTGAAAAAGACACACAAAGCTAAGGAAACTGCACTGAAAACCCATCTAAACCTCCCTCCACTTCTGAGATGTTATTTACTGTTAAAATTGAGTTTTCTCTAGAAATATTCCTTTTAGCCATTTTTGAACTGCCTCATTCAATTGAGGGTCACTGGGGAGCCAGAACTTTTCTGGACAAACGATGGGCACAAGGCAGGGTTCACAGTGGCCAGGGCACCAGTCTGTCATGGGGTACAAACAGACACAAACACAGACGTGCTCACACTCGCACCAGGGCTACCTCCCCATAAGTCAAGAAACCTAACAGCATGTCTTTGGACTGTGGGAGGACATTGAAGTGCCTGGGAGAAACACACATGAACAAGGGTAGAACACTGTACAAACTACACATGGGTAACACCCTAGGAATTGAACCCAGGGCCACAGCACTGAGAGGCAGCAATCCTTATCACCACAACAACAAGCTGCCTCTTTGTCTTATACACTATTCTAAAACAGGGGCCACTGCTGATGTTAAAACACTGGCGTTACCTCATGTTCTCCCCATCTCCGTTAAGATGCCTTTTCTGTAGCGTTTTCACACTTGCCACTCACTACAGTGGTAATCCAGCCCAGTGAGAACAGCTGAAATATTAAAGCCATCCCTCTCAGTGAAGTGGGTCTGGCACAGGCAGACACCCAGGTGCTGCTACACCTGCCACATTATCACTGCAGACAAGCTAAATGACTGGCCTGGATCTGGAGTTGTGTCATTGTAGCAGTAAAGTCCTTGTGTACAACACAGGACAGTGAGCACATGGCAGAACAGCACTCCCACTCCCAAAGACAAAGTAACCCAGAACTGATGCCACATAAGAGGGGTTACAAGCCAGAAGAGGCCAATCTGTCCACTAAGCCTGTTTGGTAGTTAGTAGCTCATTGACCCAAGAATCTCACACAGCTGTTTCGTGAAAGAAGTCAGGATATCAGCTTGAGCAGCGTGGCTGGGTGGATTGTTCCAAACTCCCACAAGGTAAGAAAGGGCCACCTGTTCAAGGTTTTACATGTGCTTCCACATGGTTTCCACCTGTGCGCTCCGGTTTATTTGTTTAATTTATTCTGAAGAACTCAGCTAGGTTGAGTACTAGGATTGGGTCCTCTAAGTCTTCAATTTTCAAACTAAAAAGGTTCAGTTCCATATATTGACAAGCTGAAATATTCACCTATGCCACAGAATGTATCTGGGCACAGTATTCTAAACGAGGACTTACTAGTGCAGTGTACAACTTTAATCTAACATTCCTTGATTTAATTTATGCATTAATTTAGCTACAGTATATATCAGTGACAGATACTGTATATCCATTGTTAAATGAGCTGACAACAGAGGTCAGTACACATAAAAACTCACAATCGTGGTACCAAATAGTGTAGGAAGCTTTATGAAAATTTTAAACAGATGTACTGCAGAAAACCACCTAAGCAGACTGCAACCAAAAACCCAGCCACCAGCTAACACCATGAGGCTCTTTACTGTATATCACCAAATATAAAGCTTCTACCTATGCCAATACCAACAATCTAATTATTTATCACCAGTAATTCTATAGCCTCTGATGTCCTCTAGCCAGTCTATAGTTGCACACAACCTCCTAACAGATTATTTGCTTTTTTATTCTCTAGATGATGTAAATGACATGTCACTATAAACACCGGAGTCTTTTTCATCAGCAGCCTCTGCAGCCTCAGTGTCTCCTATTTTGTATGCATCTCTTACACCAGTGGATCCCAGCCCTGGTCCTGCAGAAAACATTGTGTCTGCTGCTTTTCATTTCCACTGGGCTCTACAGCTCCAGAGCTAATGAATCATTTAATTGATCTGCGTGCTTGAACCTTTATTCAACCTGTTGCTTTGGTCAGTCCTGAGTGTCAGAAATACCCTACTTCAAGGGCACTATTACCAACAACTTCAGCACATGTACCTTTACAATGCTTCTGCTCAAGTTGCTTGCCATTACTTCTGGGTAAACAGCACTTACTAGCTGATCCACTGATGACATCGTGAATGACACCTTATCTGACATGCCCTTTATAAGCAATCTGGGGAATTTCCAGCCATTATCCTCTACTACTGTGTCCCCACTAACCACACTGGCCCATGGTTAAGTTCTGGCCCAGAGGGAAAAGTGCTATATCCTACTCCAATAACACCATTTGCAGTGGTTTCCTTTCCTGGTCCACTCTTGCTTAGCCTCTGAGATCAGGCTACCCTGGAGATGAATAAAGTATTTGAATTGAATCGAATCGAACTGAATAATAATAGGTACTGTAGTAACACTGCTGTCTGTTGAAATCTCTAAATCTTGCAATTTACCTCATTGTTATTTAAAATAGTCATTTCCAGAGAAGTATAATTCTTCCCTTGAAAATCTGCACAGGAGCAGAGAACTGGTTAACAAACTGAAAGAAGATGAATGTTAAAGCTATTGAACAAGGACTGGAACAAAACAAAGATGTTCAATCTGCCTGTTTCAATAGTCACATTTAATAGGCAGATAAGTAGTTATTTCAATTTCAAATTAAAACAGGTCTGAAGTAGATTAAAAGACTGCAGTAATATAAAATGGATAATTATAAGCTACCAGTTCTGTTCTAAAAATAGCCGCCTATAAAACTGAATTTTAACAGGCCTGTGCCCTTGAGAAGTTATTGAACATGAAGGCTGATGAAGGTCAAACTCATTTCAACTAATAATACCAAACTCATCGAAACCTGAGCTGCCGTTTCTGCTGTTATTGGTAAACCTTCACATTAGAAGTCCATGGATGAGTGACCTTGATGAGCAAGGTCATCATGTGAAAATAATTGGTTATTTTCTACATTTAATATAGTTATTATAGCTGCCAGTATTTGACAGGTGTAATAACCGAGAACTAACAAATGCCAAACCAGTGCAACTCCCTTTTTACAGGGGACATTTTTTTTCCAATAACAAACCACAATGTTAGATAAGCTCCTTATACAATAAGTTTAATTTCAGCAGAGATGTGCGTTGTATGAGAATTTAATGCTTGTTTTTTTATGTAAACTGCCTATAAATATAGTTTTGCGTTTGAGTCCGTGTGGAAAACAAAGCATTATATTTCTGTTTTAAGTCTCAAGTTAAATTGTGTGCTCTCTGCGCGTCGGGTGTGATCCTAATGTTCCATTCATAAAATAAGCGCTGCCAGTCAAGAGCTGATCTCCGTCGATCACACTGTAATGTAATCCGCCCACATACAGACACCAGTGTAACTATACTCTTCTTACCCCTGGGGGCCCCGACGTGTTGGCATAGCCAGGGACAGATTGAGTTGTCACCGATCTGTTCTGTCAATAACCTCCCTTCTCCGCCCTGCTATTCTCGATACCTGGGCTACACGGGGAAGTCGGAAAACCCATCTCCCTAGACAACGGGTTTTAATGTCAGATGCTCATTTACAGAACCTTTACCTTCAATCGGTGGGGAAAGGCTGCAAGAAACCGATTACTTAGACGCCAGGACTAGGGGGTTGTAAAGTGAAGCGAGTTATTCAGCAGCTGGCTCAGTTTAACAGTGTTCGGGGGGGCTGAATAAAAACTCACGCTAAAAAACAAAGCCTTTGTAAAGACAGCCCAGCACACACACACACAAAACCCAAACAAATCCGCACTATTTGTAAAGCACTGACCGCTTGAAAGCACGCATGCTTTTAAAACCGCAGCGTCGCCTTTAAAGGTCCTCCCTCCGGAGCGCTGACTTACCTACCGAGCTGGAGCCGGGGCCCGAACCCAGGAGCAGATACCAGACCCACATCGTCCCCGCCCGCCTGCGTCTGAACCACCCCGATGCAGGCGAAGAGTCGGGGTAGAAGTTTGCAGCTTTTTCCTCCTTTCCCTCAACGAGAACAACAACCCCCCCCCAAAAAAAACCAAACAAAAACAAAACAAACAACAAAAAATAAGAATGTATTTACCCCCCTCCGGGGGAAAGTTTTCAAGTTGGGCTGTATGGATGAAAGCGAGTCTGTCTGGGATAGACGACCGGAATCGGGACAGGCAGGGGGTGGGGGGAGAGGGAAAGGGGGGCACCGGGATCGAGTTCGCCTTCGGAGAGGCGGAGACTTTGGGGGGAGTCGTGGCCAGAGGAGGGGGAGAGGGATGGAGCCGGAGCCGCAACAGCAGTGAAGAGGCCACCGTGCGCTATATGATTTAGCGGTCTGAGCGCCAGCGTGAAATGCCCCAGTGCCGTGCCCGAGTGAAGAAGTCCTCTTGCGTTTCAGACGAGCTCGTTTGTAGAGGCTAACGCGCTGCAGGACACACATGAAAGCACTATCACATAGACTTTCGTTCATAAAAATTAAGTACTCAAAAGCGACAGACACAAGTGTTACATTTGTCACTGATCTGTGAAAGCTAACTTTTCATCACGTTTGTCTCGGGGGAAATAGTAGATCTATTTTTTCGGGCGCTGAAAAGTGCACATTCAAATTGCTTTTCTTTAAAAAAAAAAAAGAAACCAAGGCCTTTTTAAACCCGCTGTTTAAGGGACTTAATAGTATTATAGTTTTTACATTGGTGTTATTTCATACTCTATAAACATCTTTCAACAGTTTCAGTTGTAGCATATTTTTCTTGTTAACTTTAGCAATTAAGAGAATGGAGAAATAAACCATTTAAAAAATAGAATACCCAGAAAATATTAATATCCCATGATCAAAATGAAAGAACCATTGCATAATATATTCATCTAGAATATATTTTGCTGTTTTTACTGTGAACATCTCAGATTCCACACTAAACCCAGACAGTATGTTATACAAACATGCTTGGACTTCGAAGTCCTTTGGATTTTTAGGCCTCTATAAATCATTTACAGTTTGATATTTCTTGCGAAGTACTTTGCTGGTTGCACTTTCTTAATACAAACAGTATCTCAACCGTTACATTGATTCAGTTAATTATCAATAAAAGAACTGAGGAGCTCAATGGTTGGGATTGGAATGGCTGTAGCATGAGACTCCGTGCTCCATACACAGCAAACACGTTTCTATAAAGATCTGTGCCTGTGGCAGAGATCAGTGTTTTCCTGTTCCTCTTTACCTGTCATCATCCGTGATCTGTGTAGAACCCATTTACACTTCAGCCCTGCCTTGTAGCTTTCAAGACAAAACTTTCTCAGAACTGCAACTAAGAAAACAACGTTTTTCAAAGGTCACAAGGGATATACTGTAGCTGTTTGCCCTTTAAGTCCTTTGCATTCTGTTATATTTGAAATTATTCCAATGTACATCATTATTTACAAGAGGTCTCTACGGCACCCACATCACCGGTACAGGCATTACTACTCTTGTTAGCTTCTCTGGCCCCTGAATTTTGAATAACTGAACCGTGAACTGCTCTTGGGTCGTTGGTTTAAGAAGGAGAGCTCGTTCCACAGTTTCCCCATATTCGGATCTTTTTGGAGGATGGATGATACCTTTACGTTGCACGTATGCGGTTCTTTTAAGCTTTGGAAACATCTCATAACGCAAAAGTAAACCTTGAATCGCCGTTAAATCACTACACTGTAGTAATAAACTGAAAAATGTAGAATAGAATAATTATTCACAATTTCTTAAATCTGAGTTTTGTTTACAATTGCCAGATAAACCCACTGTTGGGAATGTTAACCTGCCGGAACAAGGACTCAGATTAAATCTTTAATTTAATCTGATTGTACTAAAATGGTTCTTCTTATGTGCTTTTTGTTGTAATAGGATGCTTGCTTTGATATCTACTAAATGGAAATCCACCACTGAATACTGCATATACTGTTTTCGGAAGTCCAATGTTTCCATATCACAATATCAACTATAAGTGTTTCTTGACTATATGAGAAAATGGAATCTATAAATCACTGCCCACCTCACAATTATTTGCTTTAAAAAAATCTGGATTCAATGTGGTAGTTACAAGAGAAATTAACTAAATGTAATAAATTTGCATTTTGTTTTATTATTTCCTGTCAACTATTTGTAGTTTATTTTGTAAATAGTAGGTTGTATGATACAATTAGCCTTTTGACATATGACAAATGTCTGTAATGTAATTGTTGCCAGACAAATGGCTTCATTAAAACTAATTAAACTCTAATATGAAAGTTGTTATTGACTTAATCTTTAAAGAAATCCAATTATAGCCTAGCAGAAAATTACATTGGGTATAGCTGATATGACTGTCACTGCAGAGTGAAAATACAGCAACCTGAAATGGCTGGCCTGCAATCTATTAATCCCATCAATAGAAAGAACAGCTGTGAGGCATTCACAGCATTAACAAGTTCTCTCAGTTTTCCCCGCTTAAGGAGAACGTCCTGTCGTTTCCTTTGGCCTTATTTTAACAAAAAACTGTCTGATTTCTATTTCTTCTCTGTGTCGATGGAGATCCGGTGCTTTCCATCCACAGAGAATGATTGCGGGTAGCTCGTTCCCTTTCTGATGTCCCTGGATGTTCGGATCTCCCCACCCCAGATGAGTCTCTGTTGGGCAGGGTCATGGCAATGTTGGAAGATGAGTGCCTGTTGGATCTTGCTTCACAGTGCTGTGAGACTGCACCACCATGCAGCCACACTTAAATACAATACAAAATTCAAAAGAAATGCCATTTTCCACACCTCATCCATTCCCTACAGTGGAACTCCCTTCTATGTTTTACCTTGAGGACCTCCGGATCCTGGCAGTTGAAAGCTCTGTAAACAGTAAGTAAAATTGAGGTCAGGATCCAGGGATGACAGATGAGAGAATATAGAAGCACCTGAAGCAGCCTCTGCATCCTTTCAGCTACAGTCAGACCAGCCTGCCAGATCCATGTCTGCTTCTGTGTGAAGCCATCGTCCAGCAATAGTACTAAATCTGAGCAAACAATATTCCGGATTCCATGCATACATTTTCCTGTTTCAAGAACAAATCATGTACACTTCCAAAATGTATAAAAAGTGCCCACAGTGACCCTCAGAATTTAAGAGGGGAAAAAAATTAACTTTATAAGATGCCATACAGTATATGAGGGATAAGACACACTCTGTGATGGAAAACTTAAGCTTTAAATTTGTATCTCAAATCTTGCTCCAGTGAATGACCATATATGCGACATTCAAGTCCTTAATCCAAGTAGTATTGCTTGGTAAGGGTTTTTATGAAGCCAGGAATAGAAGAAGCCAGTCGCTTTATTTTACTTCTGCTACCAGACAGATAAGGGATAGGGAGTGCAGACTGGGCCCACAGGGGACACCACAGAAACACATTGCAGAACAATGATATACTGAAGTGTAAAATGACTGAAGAGACTGGACACTCACTCATATCATGATTGTTAGTCCCAGAATGACTGAAGACCATCCTGATTAACGTATCTATTGAAGAAACAATATTTCCAGCCCAGTGAAAGCCTTTGACACAGCAATGTGAAAAAGAGAAAGGAGACCTCTGTGTAAGGAGCTTGTAATGGTGAAAATAGGAATGCCATGTCTTCTGTGATTTTCTGATTCTTTCTACTGAATGCCAAATCCTATTTAATTATGGGATAGTCCTGTGTAAAACAAGTAATGGATTCTGAATGGTGATACCAGAATTTTTTCAAGTGGAAACAAGATACAAGAATGTCAGAGTTCAACCACCGAGACAATGGATATATATTATGGTAACATGAGTCTGAATTGTATGAGGGAAAATTAGTCCATCTGTTTAAATCTACCTGTTTTTTGCTGTAATTACAAGTAGAATAAACCTCAGCACCAAGGTACTATATCTGAAGCATTTGACCAGTGTTACAGGTAGGCCTTTTTTCAACTATACACTTTAAGATAATAAACCAGACTTGGAACAATTACTTTCACACCCTGTTATACCCTATATCAAAATTACTTAAAGTAGTTAGAAGATGAAACAAGGACTGAGACACATTATCTACACATTATCTATATATAACAATATACAATGTTGACTTATATATAACTCTAGAAGTATAAGTAGTAGATTGAAAATGTTAAAGCCTGTGCTTAAGGCTCCAAACACAAGACCAATAACAAAAAGTAAAACCGGACATCCCTGAAAAGCATCTCTAGAAATAACTAATCGGGATGAACTTCAACACTGAAGTTAACTTGCCTGTTGACATTAAAGTGTTAGCTTTATAAAATACTATATTTACATCTAATACAAAAATGGCACAGGGAATTTACAATGTCAGTAGTAATTTTTGTAATATAGAGAAGAATGGTAAACGTTATCAGAAGTCAGACACCTTTTAAAAAAGCACAGTGAAGTAATTTGATTTTATAGGCCTACAGCTACTGTAATAGCACCTTAGCACTAAGTACACCTTGGCATTTCAGCAAATTGGTGAGAAGATTAGATGATAGTTTGCAGAAAGATTGGGACTTCAATTCTTTATAACAATAGGAATATAATGGCATACTGTATTAACATCCCTGTAAAAAGAAGCTTGCTCAAAGCATATGTATCGTGACAAGCAACAGAAGACCTAATTGGGGCCAAAAAGTCAGATAAAGTTGAAGAGAGATGCCATCAATGCCAGAAGATTTACTTGTTAATCATGTTCTGAACCACTTCCTTTATCTCTTATAAGAGAGAGATAGATATAAGTGCCTGCAGCACAGATGTCTCACCAGGGGAAAGTCTATGTAAATAAAAAGACTGGAGAAGCCTCCTACATTTTCCTGATCAAATTGAATGTCTCAACTGTATCATTTTCTATAAAACATGAAAATGCAGGGCTTATCTGTATGGGATATTATAGTAATTTTCATACGGATATGGGGATGACATGGGATACCTAAGAATATCTGCAAAACATTAATTTCAAATAAGTGGCTAGGCTGATTGCCATTTAAATAAAA